TTCTGCTTCTACTTCTTCTTCTACTTCTACTACTACTACTACTACTACTACTCCTACTGCTGCTACTGCTGCTCCTGCTGCTGCTGCTGCTACTGCTGCTACTACTCCTCCCGCATCCTCCTCCTCCTGCTGCTGCTGCTATATTGCCGCTGCAGCCTGCTACTGGATCTCAAAAATTCCTCATCGTCGTCGTGCATGGGCGAACTTGGTAGTGGTAGTGCTGCTGACAGGGTCCGTCACGGAATTTAGAAGAACAAGACAACTCCTCATTGGCTCGCGTATCCTGAGGTGAACTCGATTCGTCCCTCGGCCGTCGGGTGCAAGTTGGCCAATATCTATGACATAAATTCCAAGGTTTATCTGCTGAAGCTTCAGCGGAAAGGCAGGGGACACAGTTGATGTTGCATTCGTCGGAGACCTGGTCTGCAGCAGCTTTGTCCCCAGAGGCTTTAGATGCTTGCTTCTCCTGGAAAGCGGCGTGCGTTTTCACCTGACGGAGTACCAGCGAGACAAGTCGTCGATCCCATCTAACTACACCATGAAGTTGCGCAAGCATCTGCGCAACAAGCGGCTGACGAACGTCAGTCAACTCGGAGCGGATCGTGCTGTCGATTTCCAGTTCGGCCGCGGTGAGACATCTTTTCATTTGATCTTGGAGATCTACGTGACCGGTAATTTGATTCTCACCGACAGCGAATACCAAATCCTGGCTTTGCTCAGAGTGCACTCGGACCAAGAGACCAAGGTGGCCATGCGCCAGACGTATCCCGTAGACAAGGCCATGGGGCTCTTAAAGGTGCCCCTTGCAGATTTTTCGGATGAGATCGAGGACATCTTGGATCTGGCCTCTGCTCGTGCTGAGAATCAGGAGGTCAGGGAACTAGAGATGGACGACGAGAAGGCGGCCAAAGACAAGAAGAAAGGCGTCGAATCTGCTTTTGCCAAGAAGTCCAAAAAACGAGTGCAGCACAGCGCAATGCCTGTGGTGATGCTGCTGCATAAGCTTGCGCCTTTTGCGGATCCTGCGCTGTGCGCCAGCTGCGTGGCCAAAGTGTCTGCAGCGAATGGCAAAACCGTGCAGAATGCGTTCCTAGCCGGGTCTTTGAGAGTCTTTTCAGTTTCCCTTATTGTCCTTCTTAGATGTCGCCATGCATAAGCACTTTTGGGAGGCCTCGACCTACTACCCAGGTTCAAGATAACGGTGGATGACATGTCCTTTGAGGAGCTGGTGGAGCTGGAGCAGTCCTCTGCCGAGATGCTCCTGGACACGCTGCGCAGCGTGTCGCGGCCGGACGATTTAGGGGGTGGCAACATGCCCGTGCTGGCGGTGGCAGAAGCCGCTGATGATGATGTGAATGATGCCGAAGACGACGAGGACGAAGCAGATGTTCCACCAGAGCCTCAAGACGAGGCACAGGCACAGCCTGGGCCTGAGACAGGCATCAAGCGCGGTGCGCCGCCAGAGGCTGATGCACCGGTGGTTCCTGGCTGGATCCTACGAAAGAAGGTGCACACCCCACCTGCAGAAGCTACCTGGGCTAACGAAGAATTCAGTCCGTTGGAGCCGCCGCAGCCAGAAGAAGCCGACGCTGTCCTTTCGTTTCCAAGCTTCCATAGATGTGTTGACGAGTTCTTCACTCAGCTTGAGGAGAACAAGGCAGTCGAGCAAAAGGCACAGCATGCCCAAAGTGTGATGGCACGTGTCGACCGGATCCGTGCGGATCAGGGACGTCGGCTTCAAGAGCTAGAGGCCGAGCAGGAGGCGTCGGAGCGCAAGGCGAGCCTCATCGAACGCAACGTCGAACTCGTCGACCGAGCTCTCCAAATGATCAATGCCATGCTGGCATCCCAGGTGGACTGGGGTGAACTTTGGCGCGAAGTCAAACGCCAGCAGCGCTTGGGACATCCCATCGCCGAGCATATTCACTCCATGAATCTGGAACAGAACGAGTTCAAGATCCTATTGGCGGACATCGACGAAGAGCAAGGCGAAGACGAAGGTACTGATGACAAGCCGATGGAAGTGGTGGCACTAAACCTGAACTTGTCTGCCCATGCCAACGTTGCACGCCTACACAGCAAGAGGAAAGAAACCAGGGACAAGACTTCGCGCACGCAGACGCATGCCGAAGCCGCCATAAAGACTGCCGAGAGAAAGGCGCACCAGGATCTGCAGAAGTTCGACTTGAAGCAAACAATTCGCCGTGTGCGTCAGACTTGGTGGTTCGAGAAGTATATTTGGTTTGTGTCCTCGGAGCTGCTTGACTGCGACACTGACCGAAGTCGAAGTCATAGCATGATCAGGAACTAGTAATGTCTTTCTGGCTTTGTGTCTTCCTTTCAGGAACTACCTCGTCGTGGCTGGCCATGATGCGGTGCAGACAGAGCAGCTCTTTTTGAAGCACCTTGGCGAAAACGACGCCTTCATCCAGGCAGATGTTGCAGGAGCTCGGACCTGCTTCGTGCGGAACCCGGAAGGCCTCGGGCGACGCATTCCCCTCGCTGTAATATTAATATAAAATAATATAATGATAATATAATAAATAAACAAATACTTAAATAAATATAAATATAAATATAAACATAAATATAAATACAAATATAAATATAAATATAAATATAAATAAAAAAAATATATATATAGACCATAGCCCTCCCTTCAGGGTTTTCTCGCCTCCGGACCCGTGACACCTGTGAGGTGGGGAAGTCCCTCCTGCCACTCTCCGCGAAGCCGGTACGCTCGCGCTTTGCCACAGCACTGCTTGGGATAAGCAGATTGTCATCTCCGCATGGTGGGTGCCCATCACGCAGGTCACGCGAGGCGCATGGGACCAAAGTGCGTGAAATCCCGGCCGTGGGCAGCAAAAATGGTTTGATAAAACTGAGGCAAAGCTCCAGATGAGGACCACCACTGTGTGGATGACTTCTATGTCACCGGCCGTCGTCAGTTTATGCCACCGCTACACTTGGAGTCACTCAGCTTCATGCGGTAGAGTGACATTTGCCATTGCTGGTGTGCCTGTCCGGTTAAAACATGTGTTGCGTCATCTGTCGACTCAGGATGGGCATGACGCTCCTATTTCAGGTCTCAGAGGCCTGTGCCCAGCGGCACAAGGCACAGGGAGCAGCATGGAATATGGCCGTCTGCATGATGAACGCTCTGCCTGCAGGGCGAGCGGAAGAGCCGGTATCTAGAGGCAATGGCCAACAAGCCAAAAGCCGCAGAAGAGGCAGACGACTCCTGTAGTGCTTTGATCGAGCTGCTTCTCAATGCTCGGCAGGAGATGCAAGAGGTGGAAGCTGACAGCGACCATGAGCTGGCTGCAAGTGGCTTGCCCAAGAGCCAATGTCCCGACTTCTGCTCATGGATCCCGACTCTGAGGTGAAGAAGAGGAAGAAGCAGAGCAGGCTGGCATGGACGATAACCAAGAAAACCATCAGGACAACGAAGACGATAAAGAGAAGACGGAAGATGAAGAGGACAGCAGGGAAGTTGCGGCGAGCCGCAGCCAACCGGACGACACCGAAAAGAGCCGGGGCAAGATGAGAATTTCGCGAGCTGAGCGCAGGCACGTGGGAGCCCTAAACCCTAAACCGTGGCTCTTTTGAGGTTAGAATACATTGCATTGTTGTATGTTATCATTCATTTGCATTACATTGTATTACGTGACATCACCTAAACGAAAGCCGCGTATATTATACAGTATAGTTTACGATGTTTTATGATTCTATGTGATATTATACCAGAATATTTGATGTTATAGTGTAATATAGTTTTACAGTATATGTTGGTTCACTATAGTATATTACAATCAGCTCCAGTATACAGTAGAATAGTATGATAGTATGTTACAGTTTATAAAGTATATTACTATTCTATTCCATTTTCTATTCTGTCCTATTCTATTCCATTTTAATATATTCTATTCTAGTCTCTTCTCTTCTCTTCTCTTCTATTCTATATTGCATTTTGTCTTGGATTATTGATGTAGATTCACAGACCAAGAGCCGCCGTTGCTCCCGAGGCGTCAGAGAAAGGATAGCGCCGAGGAGGATCAGGCCGGGCCTTGGTATAAGCAATGCAATACAATACACTGTTATTAAACATCATGATACAATATAGTATACTTCAATATATGTACATGAATATGTATACAGATATACTAGAGCATGATACAACGTGATCTAATATGATATAGAAAATCTAGTATGAGAAAGCAGAATACCTCTCACTGCCTCTCACCCTCCAGCCCAGGTTGAGCAGGTTGAGCCGGAAGCAAGCAAAAAATCTGCGGATCCCAAATCGAAAGGGCCCCGGCCCAAGCGCGGTTTTGCTGATTGGCCTTGACAGAAAGGACGTAGAGTTTCGGGTTTAGGGGTTTAGGGGTTTAGGGTTTTCGGGGTTTAGGGGTTTGGGGTTTAGGGGTTTAGGGGTTTCGGGGTTCAGGGGTTTAGGGGTTTAGGGGTTTAAAGGCCTTGAATCCTGACTCCCAAACGCCAGGCCAAGCACGGAGCCGCTTCCTCGTGGGCAGAAATCGAAAGTCTGGGCCGCAGTCAACCTAAGAAGAGAGGGGTTTCGTGTTGAGGGTCCAGGGAGGCATGGGAGGCCTCATGTTTAGGGTTTTAGGGTTTAGGGTTTATGGGTTTATGGGTTTAGGGTTTATGGGTTTAGGGTAGCTCCTGGCCATCTGCGCAGCACTGCTTGCTAGCCCGACTGCGTAAGCGCCTCGCAGGCCAAGAAGATGAAGGAGAAATATGCTGATCAGGACTGCAGGGCTCATTCAAAGAAAGCACCGTGTGTTGCAGCGCTTTTACCTTTCCGGAAGCTGCTAAAGTCTGGGGTCCAAAGGTGGATATACCGGCCAGGACGAGGATGAGCGCGAGCTGCGGCTAGCCCTTCTCGGCAGCAGTACCCCTGGGATTCTCTGCATATCGGCCTTAAACTTAGGGAGCCGTGAGCGGTGAGGCCGGAAGATCAAGAGAGCCGGAGGCCGGGTACCATCGGGTAGACCCGGCCCCAAAGCTCCCTTTGCGCTTGGGGCTCCTGGAGAAAACCGCACCAAAACATCCTCAAAAAGAGGCGACCCGGCCAAAGAGAGTAGCATCCTCGCCTCAGGGCTGGATCCTCAGCAAGTCTCTGAGTCTCTGTGACGGTTGCCACGGTCGAACCTCAGGGGCACCGGCGGCACGGAAGCAGGCGGCGAAGCTGTGCAGGCACAGGGGCAGCTGTGAGGCAACCTGTGAGGGCCCTTGGTTCATGCGCAGCCCGGCGCAGGCCAGCACGGGGACGACTGGTGAGCAGAATGTGGCTCACTTACAGTGTTAGGGCAATCGAGCACTTCTTGCACTCTCTTCGCTCTCAGGCAGCGCAGCCAAAGAAGGAGGCAAACGAAAGGCGCGGCAAGACAGTTCGTGCAACGAGAGTTTCCTGCAGACTGCATGCGGCGAGGAAACCGCCGCGTCGACCGCATGCGCCTGAGAATGGAGCGAGACAACCTCTGAGTGCATGTGCATTGTTTTGGGCGCACGTGGCCCGTCCCTGCATCCCACCCGCACTCCTTTGCCCACAGTGGGGAACCACAAGCCTGTCCTTGTGGCTTGATTCGGCCCGTTCAGCTTTCAAAGATATCTGCCGGAAAAGGCTTAGCATGGGCATCCGACTGAAAATTCACAACCCAGGCGGCGGACAGGATAATGAGATGCACTTTTTCTAAGCCCTTAGGCGGAAGCTACAGACTCGCTCGAGCTGGAAGCCCCCAAAGACGAGTGTCATCAAACCTTTGATTTTCGCAAAGGAGCGTCGCCGAGCCTTAGTGCGCCTGAAGTAGTCCTTTTGCCCTCTTGCCTCAGGCCCAATCGTGATGAGGTGCACATTTCAAGCTTCAGTCTGGCTCATGATGGCTGTGTCGTGTCTTCTGTGGCAGGTGTTGAAGGTGGGCTGCGACGCAGAGCGGGCGGATTCGTGCGGCAGCCCAGGTTGGCTACAGCCCCTTTAGAATGCCAGGCATCCTGGTGCCCAGGCCTGCGCAGCTCGATCTTCTCACTGGGCAGCCCCAGCCGGAGGACTGAAAGCTCGAGCTTTCATGCCTTAGAGCGCTGCTTTCAAAAGCTGCGCAGGACGAGGTGTTGTATGCCATGCCCATGGTTGCCCCCTACTGTGCTCTCGGAGGCCCTCCGAGCTGCCAGAGAGGTGCAGGGTTGCAGCTCGCCTTGAGCGCAGGGCCCTACAACCTCCGGGTAAAGCTCACGATCGGGCCTCGGATCCGGAGCCAACACGGCCCATGGCATCGTGTGCGCTGCTCGAAAGTGCTGCCTGGATGGTCGGATGCTCTGCCGCGCTGCATTCAGGCTCTCTTGGATTGGAGACCGCGTAGCTAGGTGTGTTTTGATTGAATCATGACGCAACAAAAGCCGACCATCCGGAAAAAGAGGACGGTCGAAAACTTCGCAGGACCTTGGTTGATAGGCTTGCGGCAGATGCGGCGACGAAGAGTTGACATAGGTTGACATGAGCGTTTGATGCATGCTTGTTGTAGCTGTTGCCCTCACGCACAACTTTGCAGGACTATGCCGCTTGGCAGAGCATGCTTGCGTGGCTTTCACTTTAGAATCTGTCTATCTCTGGCTCCAGCGCTTGCTGGATTAGCACCTGCTCATGAGGATTTGGGGCTCTGGGTTTGTACCCAGCTTTGGCTGAGGTTGCTGAACTTGTAGCATGGAGCTCTCGCCCTTTCCCTGTCCTGAAGGTTATTTCCACATCTACTTGATCTTTATGGTTGTGGGAGCAGGCTGTGGCTGGCTTCTCATCAATGCTCTTTTCAATGCGATGGCGAATAAACCAGTGCTCACCAAGGAAGGCAAAACGTTCGGCCAATTCAGCATCAACCAGGGTGTTGTTGGCTTGGTCACAGGTCTGCTGTACTTCATCTGGAACTTTCTATATCCCGAGTGTCTCTCCTTGCGCGCCCAGCAGATCACTATCACGCTTCTGCTGGCCTTGAACGCAACTTTCTGCATGCTCCTTGCAATGTTCTGGCAATCCGACGCTCCAGAGTACACTTTCTTCATGTTCTCAGACATTGTGGCCCAGCTGGTGGGCAATGCCACCATTTTTTTGCTGTTTCCGTTGATTGCAACTTACTACGCTGGCTGGCTCGTCGCACCAGTCCGAGCAGGCACTGTGCCCCAAGATTAAGTACGAAGAGTCAGCTGAACGGCTAAAGGGTTGAGCATTTTGAACTTTCCCTTCAGTGTCCATCGTGCAAATTGTAGTATTGTATTGTGGAGCTCTCTGGAGTCAGCGGGCCGCAGAGCTGAACATGGGACCGTCAAGGGAAACCAGAAGTAACTCATTTCAGTGACGGTGCTTGCTTCGACGGTCTGAGCGGTCTAGACGCACAGCGCATGTACGGTCTGGGCTGGAAGGTCTACGGCTTTCTAGGGAAGTGTGCGGGTGTAGCGTTGCAGTTCATCCCCTGGAATGCAGCGATTCAAAGTTTCTAGAGGAATCCTTCTGGCCCAAAAGTTGCATGTCGCCCAGAGGCTGTCAGGAGCACGGAAGCAGAATCCCAAAAAAAAGCGCTTCGTAAATCTTTGCCTCGAGTTCAAAGCTGTAGCATATATATTATATATTATATATTATCTGTTATCTATTATCTAATATATATTATACATTATATATATATATATAATATATATATATGTATATATATATATATACATACATATATAGTATATTATATGGGGCCCCCGAGCAGGCACGGATCTTTCCAGCTTGTTTGCCACGATGATCGCGCAAGCCCAAAACCCACATCCGGGGTCAGGCAAGCTGAGATTTTCCGTCTCAACGCTCTTTGGTGTTTACTCCACGGTCTCAGTTCTCGGTCTACTGGCTTGGGCCTGCATTCTTTACTTTGGCACGGGCTTGCGATATACGATGGATCAGAAGGATGGCTCGGTTGAGCTCTCAGACAGTGAAAGTGAAGACTCCTCGGAGGAGATGGGTTCCACCCATGAGTCTGAGGGCGACGGAGATGTCAGAGTATGCTCCGTAGCGGACAAGCGGCGCGCGTTCGATGGCCTCTACGTTCCACGCAAGCTGCTCCTTCCGATTCTCTTTGCGACGTTGTCGCAGATCTCGCAGTGGGGCCTGGCCCTGTCGCTTGGGCAGACGGGCGCGATGAGCGTGGATCCCCTGGCCTGCGATGGGAAGGTGGGGAAAGAGACGTACCGATGGGCCTTGACAGCGTCTCAGGTCATGGTGCCCTTGGGTTCCGTCATGTCCTCGGTGATGCCCAGCCCCCGACCCGTCTTCTATGTCCTCGCCGTTGCGCAGCTGATGGCGGGGTTGCTAGTCACGTCCGCGGCCTTTGGGCTGCTCGGACGTGATGCAAATCGTTCTCGAATCATGCAGCACAAGCTTTCTCAGCATTTTTTCTGACCTCAGCAGTGCTAAGGATCTACTTGGATGCGTGGAGGACGTTTGCACACATCCTCAACAAACGATTGATGCGAAACTAGTTCTGTGAATGACGAGAGTCTTCGCCCAATGCCTGGATTTGATTCTTGAAGTATACAGTCGAGTTTCAAGTGATTCGACACTGATCTAGGGTACCTTGAACTCACAGAAGTCTTTCCAGCACGTATCGTCCTTGTTGCTTCCTGTTGAGTGATATCAGCATGTCTGCTGTGACTGTTCTCATTGGATTGAGGGCCTCGCGCAGTGGGTCATCAAGTACAGCACCATATAACGCAGTATTAGTATAAGGCAAGACAATGAAAGATAAGCTGTTATCATACAGTATTTCCATACAACATAAATACAAGATAACGACATAATGTTGTACTGTAATATGAGATAACACAGTCTAGTTTAATACCATGGTTTTGTAATGCCTTAGTTCTGTATACTAAAATGTAGTGTAGTATGGTATAGCATCGCAGTGCAGTATGGTACAGTGTAGTACAGTACACTATAGTACAGTACAGCACGGTACAGCCCAGCGCAGCATCTAGTCTAGTCTAGTCTAGTCTGCCCTGCAGGACACCCTCTGGCCAGTCACTCTATGTTGGGTGCTTTGCCCTTACGGCGGGCTTGGAAGGATACTTGCTAACCATGGCTTTCCGCTACATCGGCGATGCGGTGGATATTCCCGGCAAGAGGCGGCAAAGCTCCAGCCGAGTGTTGAGCCTTCTGGGCGTTATCTTGGTCAACCCCGTTTCGCTGCTTCTAGGATCCATGCTTCAGTCCGATCGCATTCGCTGCATAGAACCAGGATCTCATTGATTCTTTTACCTGCACCTGACGATAACTTCCGTGGCGTGCTGCCGACAAAACGTGTTCGTGCGATGGTTGGCCGGGCATCATCTGCATTGCTTCAGCCGCTTTGCATCTCCTCCGAGGCCCGGGAACCAGAAGAAAGGCCAAGCCGTGCGGCACTGTCTGAAGATTTTTGCAGAACAGGCTCTCGGTTTGCGATGGCCAGGGGGGCCTCCTAAACCCTAAACTCTTCAGTGCCCTTGCCACTGTCTCTCTCTTTCTGGCTTGCAGACGGAAAGACGAGCCTGGAAGTTGTTGGTCCAGGCATGGCTGTTTTTGGGGCTCAGGGCTCAAGGTGGCCTCAATAATTACCGATATTTGTTTTCCTTAGGTTCCATACTAGATAATTCTACCACAAAGGAGCCCCAAAGCCTATTCTAATTATGTGGCCAAGATGGGTGCTGATCCTAAGTCGGACTCATGCTCTGCACTTTGGGCAGAGCCCGCCGCAAAAAGGCGATCCCCGAGAACGAAGCCACACAGCTCATGCCACCATCTCAGCTTTCATTCTGGAGGTCCCGGAAGTAGTGCCGATAAATAAGTGGTAGGGAGCACAGCTGCAGCTGCCGGATGAGCTGTAGGTGTGGAAGCTGCAAAATGTCAATGCCAGGGCTGCAAAAACTGCAGCAGCAACTCAGGTTGCTTTGCTTCATCTTGCGATTCCTGTTCTTTCCCATGCAAAGTGACATGCGTTGTGCTTCATGCAGACCGTGCGTGTCCCGTCCAGGAAAGAGAAGCGGAAAGAAAACAAGGAAGTGGACAAACAGCTTGGCCAAGCAAAGGCAAAGGTCAAGCAAAAGGCTCCAAAGAAGTAGACGAGCCAACTGTACATACTCATGTCTACGAAGATTCCTCATCTTTTTGTCGGTGAAGTGGACAGTCCCGGTCGACCCAAAAGAGGACAGATGGACGACCGTGTGTAGCCCTGCAGAAGTTCAGTTCGTGCCCACTGCTGTAGCTTTGGATGCTGAACTCCTGCATCTGGACGACGGCGTATGGGCCAGCGAGCCGCAGGGAGCTTCGGTGCCGTATTGGGTGCAGACGCGTGGCTCTTTCAAGCCCGGCTGTCGGCAAAACAGCTTACGCTTGCGTACATGATGTCTGCTTGATAAGCAGCGCTGGGCATTTACACCATACTCAAGCGTGCCTTCACAGCTTTCCCTTGCAGCAGGTGCCGGCGGATCTGGAAGTGCTGCTGTCCAACCTGTCTGACTTTACAAAGGCCCCTCTGCCAGTTTGATGTAAGCTTCGGACTGTGAGAGATCGGTGTTAGTCCCACTGTGTTCGGGCGGAGCGAGGCTTCAGGCAAAACCCGCCTGATTTGCACACAAACCTGGAACGAGCAGGTTTTCAAGCAGCACTGGGACGATGTCAAAAAGAATTCCCAGCACTACGAGCGGATCTTCAGTCCGCGGCCTAGGGATGCCCGGCATGAGGGCCTGCTGTGACTACAACACTGAGTGCCCCTTTTTCGCGATGCAGGTGGTGATGCACCTTCAGATGCTGCTTCCGAGTGAAAAGATGGAAAGAGTAGCAACGGCAGTTCCGAGACGCCTGTTTCCGAGCAGGGCAAAGTCCTGGTTTTGGAGGACGGGGCGTTTAGGGTTTTTAGAGGTTTAGGGGTTAAGGGTCTAGGGTCTAGAGCTAGCCATCGCAGGCTGCAAAAAACTCTGGATGAGTACTAGTGGGCGTGCAAACCCGATTCCATGCAATTCTGTTGGGCACGTTGTTTGCCGCCTGGGATGCCAAGCCTTTTCTGGTGTTTCTTCCATCCGCTGGACGTCAAACTGACGACAGGTAACATATGGTGCCTGGTTGCACAAACACCATGTCGAATTTGACCCTCATATTCAAGCAGTGATGCAGCCTTTGGCACCCATCTTTTGCAATGGTGATCTCAGACCACTGGATCAGATAATGACGAGTTTCACTGCATAACTTATACAAAAAAAAAGCAGCTTGGCTCCTCGCTTGTTCGAGAGTTTGAAGGGTCTCAAGTAGCACTGGAAGCCCGATCTTCACTTCTGCCGTGCCCTCGCAGTCTGCAGGCTTTGCTGGCAGGGGTCATAGAATGGATTCCCAGACACCTGAAGGTTTCAGAGTGGTCGCCTAGTCCAGGCAGATAAACTCACGCGGATGCAAAAACTGCCCAAGTGACCGACGGGCGCAAACACATCTTCCATCTCTTGAGTAGCAGACAGAGGCACCGGTCCCGAGCAATGGAGTAGATTCCGCCCCCCGGGCTCTTGGCGATCATGGCGTCGCTGGAAAGCTCGGGCCACTTCGACCAAGATGCGCATGTCCGGATGGCAATGAAGTATTTGGAGGAGAAGAAGGTGAAGACTTTGCTGCGTGACTTGACGCAGTCGCTTCTTCTTGCCCAGCCGGCGGATCCCAGAAGCTACATCTTGGAAGAGTTGCGCTCTGAGACTTCCGGGCCTTCAGGCAGCAGTCCGAGCACGAATGCCTGCGCTTTCCTGAAGTCTTCGAGATCCTCCGCGCGAGATGCGGTGCGCGAGCTCCTTCGAAGTGCGAAGGATGGCCTGGGCGTGCAGGCTGTGTCTTTCTTCTCAGCTCCCAAGGGCCGTGGCCGTAGTGTTTTGGGCCTTGGCGATGCGCAGCAGCTTTCCGGCGATGCCTTCATCCTGGTGGACAGTTCAGACGGTCGCAGCCCAGGGGAAGCAGGCAGAAGCACCTCACACTGCAATACTGCTTCAGATTGCTGCACAGATGATGTTTGCCAGGTTCAAGCGTCGTCGCGGAGTGTAGCGTGCTTAGACGTTTGCAGAAGAAGAGGCTCTGTTGTTCTTGTCCTGGCTATCGCTCTGCACGCTGAGGCCTGGGTTCCGCCCTTGCAAGCGAGTCGGGTGCCGCAGCCGACACCTGCGTTGGCGCCTAAAGAGGGCCCACGGCAAGGGCGGTCTCAACCGATCTGTGCTCCTGTCTGAGGTTGCATGGCCCGTGAGAAGCGCGCAGGGTGCGACCCACAGCTCAGCAGCTCAGCCTTGGCTGAAACCGTGTGGCGATTTTGGCTCAAGCCCAGCTTGAAGTCTTTTAGGGTCTACCGATCCGGGATTTACAAGGCGTGCTGAGAGGTGCCAACATGCCGGTACTGTTTGAGTTGAGCTGGCCAGGAAGCATGGATTCTTCACCGAGAATACAATGCGATAGTATTCGCAGCTGGCCTACCATGAGTTGAAATTTGGTGTTGAACGTTGCGAGCTTGAACGACCACTGTGTGCAGTAGCTTTGCCGTAGGTGCGCGGCCGCACTATCATTGCCAAGTGTAGTCGACAACAGCGTGGCCAAGATCCAGCAATCCATGCGGCTGAGAACACGCCTGATGTTGTCCCGCGACCGCAAGCAAAAAAGCAAAGTGGTGCACGGTTGTTTTTTTCGCCGGCAGATTCCAGTGCATTCCGAGCAACTGCTTGTGGTGCCAGGTGATGAACATGAAAATGTAACGGTACTTTCCGGACCCTTGGCAGGCGTCGGCACAAGTGCGGTCTCTACTTTTGGGGGCCTTGAGGGTCCACCAGGATCAAGGTCACCCGTCGTGCCGCGCCTGTCGCAGGCTCCTCTGGCAGTTGCAGACAGAAGGCGCTTCTCAGGGCAACCGCAGAGAAGAGGCAGAGTTCGTCCTCCAGTCTCGGCAGACACCAGGTACTTTAGGCAGAAGTTGGTGTGATTGGAGCATCTGCAGGGACCCCGCCCCGCACCTGGTGCTCGAACCGCGAATGAGCCGAAAACCCGGTTCAATAGCAGGGTGAGACGAGCAAGCTGCCTAGGCTATGCATGTGAAGCTTAAACGCCGACCAGATCAAAACACGACCTGCAAGCCGAGCACTGCGAAATTGCAGACACATTTTGCCTCCAAGCAATGGCGATTCGCTTCTGCGGTGCAGCACAATTGGCAGTCTGCATTTCTGGCAGTCTCCCTGCAAGCGCATCTGCGCAGAGCACGCGCTTCTCAGTGCTGCCGGGAATTGAGGCACGAACGTATCACGAAAGTTATCCCTAAACCCTAAACCCTAATCGACAATCCGTAACAAGTTCACGGACCCCCGATAGCTCAGACTGGCCGTTTCTTCTCAGGCGCGGCCGTCCACGGCTTACACTGGCCTTGCAGCTTTCCCGAGCAAGCCCCGGACTCAGATAGAGCTCCCACCTAGTTTCCTAGCTTCCAGTTCTGGCTAAAGCATGACGGATGTGTGGGCAGGCTTGCGGCATGGAATGGCCCTGCAAGGCTAAGAAGGAGCCGCATTCAGAGGTGGGGGCAGAGTGGGTGTAAAGCATGGTCCTGCCCTGCGAGTCCTCCACGCATCCGGAGGTCACAAGACACTCAGAATGACCGTGGCCTGAGCCCTGCAGATGGCCTGGAGACACGCACACAGACACTTGGCTCAAACCATCGAGGGAGCTTCATTTCGTCGAAGAAGCTTGGGTGTCCGTGAGTCCTTCTCAGCGCCCAAGCGTTAATGCCGATGCAGCCGAAAATGCAGCCGAAAAGCAAGTGGAAGCGGGAGCGGCAGGGGGGTCAAGCTTGAAACACTAGCCTGCAAAGCGGTCAGAAGCCATGGTCCCACATGTTCCGTGGGCGTCATTGATTGCAGTTGCAGAATGCCCAAAAGTGACACAGCGTGCTGTGGGGGACGGTTCTTTGACGATCCGTCCTACTGTCAGGTTATCATGAGTCCTGAACCCTTAATCCTTAACTTTCTTAGCGATTGCTGGCTGCTGCTCAGCTCCGTGTTGAGTCATGCTGCTGCGTCTCCTCCTCCTCCTCCTCCTCCTCCGCCTCATTGTCCTCCTTGTTTTATGCACTTTCCGAGTGCATCCTTGCTCTCAGCTGGCCCCGAGTTTACATGCTTCATCGGCTTTCGTTTGTCTCTGCATCTGTGTGCTGCATCGAGCCGGCCCTCAATCTCTGACAGGGTGTGGAGGCCACTCCTCAAGGGAGGCACCGTGGGAAGCCTGGCTTTCTTGGCTGGCGTTGTGGAGGCTGCGTGCGTCACCAGATATCGCTGCGCCTCGGCCAAACATGACAGCTGTGTGAAGATGTGCTCCGATATGCTGACTGGGGGTGCTCCCGGTGTAGCGTTGCCAGGCTATGTGAATATGATGACCGGCAACACAGCGCTTTGGATGTCTTGGCACCCTTTGCCACCTTTCTGTGTTCGTGAGACGCGGCTCTAAGACTCTAAGCGTGAAGTGGCCGCAGAACCGGATAAGGTTATGGCCGGAGCCGCTTTGGCCTTTGCTCAGTGGGGCAAGCTTGCGTTTTTTTCTACTTTGTTGCTTCACTATGCAACTTGGCTCGAGCAAAAGCAATTGGTTTTGAAGTTGTTGAGACTGCTGTAGTTCACTGTGCCAAGACGATGGTCTGTGTCACCGCACCGTTGCATACAATAGGCTCTGCCTATTTGCGCAGTCATACGCAGAGCCTGTTGTCCTTTGCAGGTATCTGGTGTTGCGTTGTTTCGCTTTCTGGATTCGCGACTGGGGCCTCAGAGGGTTGCAGCCACTGCCCCGCCGCTTGGAACTGCTGGGCTCACGGGAGCTTTCCATGTGAGCATGGGCTTGAGTCTAGTGACTAGTGAGATGTATAGCGTTCTTGACAACGCTGCAATATGAGGTTGATTCTGCTCATCCACTGTTCGTTTGACGCCTTGTGGCTGGCCTCTTACAGCGGCAAACTTTGGCATTCTTTCAAGAAGATTTTTGTCCGTAGGCAGACCTAAGTCCTTGTGCTGGTGGCAGGTCTCTATATGGAGATTCAGTTTTGTCAGGTTCCTAAGGGGAATACTGCCTCACTTAAACCTCAAATCCTCAGCTCCCGAAATAGCCTTAAACCCTAAGCCCTAAGCCCTAACCCTAAACCCTAAGCCGTAAACCCTAAACCCTAAATCCTAAACCCTAAACCCTAAACCGATAGGTCTTGCAGATACGACTCTTCGTGGCCTCTGCCTCTCTTGGCGCTGGGCTGCGGCGTGGTGAACGCCTTTTCATCCGGCAGTTCTGGTGTGGCAGCCTGCCGTACTCGTCCCTTTTTGTCTTGTCTGAAATTCTTGCATTTAAGGCTTCCTCGTTGGGATCCTTCCATTAAGCATTCTGGCAGCTGGCTCACTTTGGGGGGTGGTGCACAGGTAACCAACATGCTGACGGGACATTGGCATATCCTGGCAAGCTCGATGGCTGATCTGATGTCTGGCAGCACCCTGGACCAAAGCAAGCGCAGTGTCGCGCGACGAAGCTTAGGCAGGATGACTCGGAGGGTCTGAGATCGAATCGTCAAGCAATACGGTAGCTGCTTCGCTTACCGTTTGAGTGGAAAGTTATTGTTCGGTCATCTGCCAACCGTCTCTGCGCCTCCATCCGACATGCGATGCTGCGACAGGTGTCGTGTGTGCTTTTGTGCTGGGCGTGCTCAGTGCGCAGCTTCTGCTACGTTGCGGCCTGCCCGTCAGGCTGCGGCTGGCCCAAGCTGTTTTCTTATTCGCAGACCTTGACAAGTTGGAAGCAACTATGTAGGCAGAGTTTGTACCCGTCAGGTTCTGGTGGCTGGGCGTGGCATATGCATGCCTGTTCCTTCTGCATGATGCTCCACAAGCATGGCCGTCTTCGGACGTTACGTCTGCAAAGTTCCTTGTGGTCTCCAAATCTTGATCGCCAATGATGAGCTTTTTCTAACTTTCGCAAGCAGCCTGAGCCGCAAGTGCTTGGATTTCAAGCTTGCCCGCTGCCTTTTGCACAGAATCTTCCTGTTGGACAGCCCCCCCTTTGAATTTTGGGGCTTCCTGGTCCGAGTGCAGCCAGAGGTTGGACGACCAAGTGCTGGATTCAGTGAAGTAATGAAGCCGCTAGCCGTTTGGCTGTTCCTGCCTTGCAGAGGCACCAGACAGGTTCATCTGTTCAACTCCAGTCTCACGACGTCTTCTCGCACTCCTGTTACTGCTTGCAGGCTTGGAGCTTCCAGCACTTTGCTTAAATATTCAACCCTTCTGTTCTCAGTTTGGCCCCGCTCTTCCGGAATTCTGGAGGCCCCATTTCCCCGTTGTGGGCGTTTTCCCCGGGCTGGTTACCAGCTCCTCAGTTTCCTCAGTACGCCACATCTTCGCATAACTTCGGTGCAAAGTACACTTTGCAACGCCATTGCAGTGCGATCACAAAAATGCCACAGAGTCTGGAACATTCCAGAACTGAGAAGCTGTGTTCCCAGCGACTTGCACCGGACCTTGAGCAGTTATAGCTCGGTTTGCTCCAAAGGCTCTGTGCGCAGCTGCGCAAGACTGGATCGCATCTGCTGCGAAACGAACAATGCTGGCACATCGTAGCTGCTCCTGCGAGTTGCGTCCCAGCTCGCTTTCTGTCCAGGGAAGACGGCGAGATCGTGCGCCGGACATCGACACGGAACCTGAGTCTACGGTGCAAGCTCCGTCCGTGCTACTTGGCTCGTCTTGATCCCTCCTTCAGGACTTCGTTTCGGTCAAGGATCGCGATGGAATAGCGGATTTATCTTTCTATTTACATCGTCGTGTACTTAGTATCATTCGAAAGCTTGGAGTTCGTCTGCAGGTCGGGTGCAGGATCGGTGTCATGGGCAGACGGCTGCCTCTCTGGGGAAGGTCTCCAGATGAGCCTCGGCCGCCTCGCACGTTCAAGAGCTTTGTGAATCACCTCCCACACCGGGCCCCGGAACCATTGAAAAGACGAATCGATCATCTTAGGAGCCTTCAGAGATCAGAGGGAGGAAGCCCTGGCTTTCTCACAGGCTATCCAAGCCTTCAGGATGAAAAGCATTCAATTCATTGGGATACTTCTCACCCGCATCTTACGCAAAGGATCCTGAGGGAAGGCTATCGAAGACTGACATTGTGCTTACCTGCGATCTGTGGCGTGCAAAAGTTTGCGAGCTTCTTTGGAGCGCTTTGCTTCTTTGGGCTGCACTGCTGCTAGTGTTGATATGCATAGGCAGGGAGGAACAAGATACCTTCACCTGCATGGCAAGGTGTGGAGGGTGTCTTGCTTGCTGAGCTCAATCTGCCTGCAGAGGCAACTTATTCCCCACAGCACATTGCAACCATTGTCCGGTCTTACCTGGTCAACGCATCAGGTGAGCGAGAAGTTGTCCAGTTTGCAGCTGTATGCACTACTCCTGGAAGAACGCCTCAACTGCATCCACTGGGAGGCTGAGGCGAGTTGGAGTCTGTGGGAGACTTGTCTAGTGACCAGCATTCAAGACATTGCTACGAGGCGCGCCGGTCTGCAGCAGTGGTCGAGAGCCTGCTGCAAGGGGTGGAGGTTCTCGTTCGGCACCGAGCTGCAGTGGAATCTGCACATTGCAAGGACAGGGCCGTAGTTCCGAGGCCAAGCCGTCTGAAGAATGGCGGGAAAGCAACATCCAAAGTGCCGCCGAGGTCCACCGGCACTCTGCCTGGCAAGTTTATGTGTGGCACTTTCAACATGTCCCCCGAAAGCACAATGATAAGACGGGGGATGATATGCACCAAAGTTTCCTTCACGCTGCTCCAACGCCATTGTTCAGGCTCGGCTATTTGGTATGCTTATGCAGTATTGTATTGTGTATGAAAAAGTCGCGTCCGGCCGACAAATTCAAATTGAGAGTCAACAACTACACCCAATCAAAGGAGGAAACACATCCAGGCAACATTCGTCGACCTGTCCTGCAGGTTCCGTGGCAGATGAAGTTGGCCAGCCCACATTGTAGCACAACAGCCTTCCGCAATCGCGCACTGCACCACCCTGGATGTTAAGAAACAGCTACACATTGCCTTGGTTGAAGTAGGTCGGGACAACAAGCAGAGGATAATGGAGTGAGGGCATCATGGAGACTGATGTGAAGTCGGCTCTCTGGAGTGGGAAAGAGCTCGTTCGGTCAATCTCCACATTCGTGTTTTGTGCAGGTGCCCAAAGAGGTCCTCAGAGGTGGGGACTCCGTCTATGAGACTATGCGACGCTCCTTCTGCAAGCAAGTCGGCCCCAGGTGGCATCGAGCTGCCGGTAGCATCGGTTTGGGAAGCGGACGACAGGCGTCTGCGTTCGGTTTCTGCACGGCGTTTCCTCCACATGTTCAAGACGGCCCGCCCTCCCCTCTGCGATCAGGTTGGGCTCCTTTGTCAAAGTAGGCGCAGCAGCCTGCATGAGTCTTGGTTGAGCCTGGGATTGCCTCATGGATCCCGGAGGAGGTGCAGAAGGACGAAACAGTCCGAGCGCTTTGACGACGGAGGCCCCACTGTCACAACAGAAGTGAGTGGAGCCGTCGGATCGGATGAGAAGAGCTCAGAAAGTAGTAGCAGCATGCTGCAGGCGTTCAGGTTAAGTTCCGAAGACGCCGCGCGAGTCATTTGCGCTGAGGCTTTGGCCTCAGATTGTGTGCATGGAGTAACTTCAACCAGTCCCTGCCAGGGACACGCTTGCATTAATGTCACAACGTGAATTTGCAGGGATCATGGGACGGTTCCGGGAGCAAGCTCTGCTCTTGGTATGTAAACGTCGGCGAGGTCTGCAACTGATGGCAACTTGCGATGCCCAGGCCAACTTCCTCAAGGGAAATCTGCATTGTGCTGCATGGAATCGGCAAGCCCCGACCTGAGATCGACCGCATGCCCAGCTTGTCTAAACTGTTGGACAACGGGAAGGTAAAGCCTGGAAAAAGAACCCTAAACCCTAAACCCTAAAAATGAACAGCACCACACGGCACGAACTCCTCTGACAGGCCCACTGTGCTGGATTTTTCCGACGATCCGAGCTCCAAGCCTGCCTGGCCTGTTTGGATGCCGTGCACAGCATGCAGTTATTTTGGTCGGTGCACTTTGCAAGTGAGTTCTTCATGGCAGGGCAGTGGAACCGCTGAGGCCAGCTCAGCTTAGAAGGGTCGCCTCGCACGGCATCGGCTGCAGTGAGGTCTTTTAGTGCTGCTCGTCGCATTGATGTGGGAGGTTAGATCACTTCGACATAGTTGCAGCGGAATCGTTGCGCCCCTAGACACTTCTCGGCGGCCAAACCGTTTTTCCTTCCAAAAACATGTCATAGGCTCTGCGCGTCTTCCCTGCGGGCCGCGCTGCAGGTTCCAACGGGAGAATGCATGTTGAACCATCTTGAAGGCTTGCATTGAAAACCGCCTCAGGCCCAGTCCATGATCAGCGAGTTAACCAAAAGAAAGCATTCAGCAGAACAGATGCAGGCGAAGAAGTTTTGACACTTGCAGTCTCCTCTGTCAGCAGATTTTTGCCGCGCCCCGACTCGCAGTCTTTGGTCTCCGAGCTGAGCATGACCGCGAGCACCACGGACTTGGTGTGCAGCATCGAAAAAGCTGTGCAGGCCTGCGCTCGGCCAACCCAAAAAACCCAATGCTTGCGGCCCCGGGCACAGTCTGCTCGCATGGCTCAGGCAGTGACCCAGGCCAGTAAGTGCATGGTCTTCTTCATCGATGATGACGAGGTCAAAGCTATGCAAAAGTTGGCAGATATTATATTATATTATACTATATTATACTATATTATATCATATTATATTATATTATAGAATATTATATTATAGTATAGTATAGTATATTATAGTATATTATTACTATACTAGATTATACTAGTCCCAAGGGAAGGTCAGTGCAGCGTCTGCCTGAAGGCCTGGGCTCCTCCGACGGCTACGGTGCCGGAGCCCGCACGCATGGTCTTGGACGTCGGGCTTGGGCCTCGAAGCTGGCGGCAGACCCGTCTTATTTATATAATATATAATACAATAGAATATAGCACAATATAATATAATATAATATAATATAATATAATATAATATAATAAACTGTATGTCATTTTTTGCTGCCACTTGCCTTGCGTTTCCGAGGCTGCCGGGGAGAATCGCCATGCTGGCCAAGGACAGTGCATGGCTGACTCTCATCATTCGGTCACGCTTTTGCAAGGAAGTGGCTGTCTTTTGGCCGTGTCTATCTTATTTTATCTTGTCGATGCTATCGCGCCTCTCTAGTCTGTCTATCCATCGATCGATCTACTTGTCTATCTGTCGAATCCGGTCCCAGCCCGAAGGTTACTCGCTTTTGCTCAATGGCGCTTCCTGTCATTTGGGGAAGAGTCTTCGGTTTTGGCCTTTAGGACCGTCCCTTCGCCTGTCCCCTCAAGGCCTCAGTCCCTCCGGTTAAGAAGAGTCGCGTTCTATCTCACACGAACCTCGAACCTTTGCGAGTGCAGGTGCGAATGCAGGTGAGAGGCTGCTGTTGATGCCTCTATATATCCCTAGTACTTGTATTGTATTGTCTATCTTCAGTCAATCGTCCTATTCACTCTCTTTCCTCTCCCGCTCTATGTGCATATATGTGTGTATGTATGGTCCGGTGAGCACACATGCACATAGTTATAAACAAGCAAACAAACCAGCAAAGTAAACACACCAACAAAACAAACAAACAAGCAGACAAACAAACAAGCAAGCAAGCCAGCAATCAAGCAAGCAAGCAAGCAAGCCAGCAATCATGCAAGCAAGCAAGCAAGCAAGCAAACAAAGAAACACACATGCAGACAAGCAAACAAGCAAACAAACAAACAAGCCAGCAAACAACCAAACAAACACACAAACACACACACACACATACACACACACATATATACACACACACACACCCACCCACCCCCACCCCCACACACACACACACACACACACAAACACAAACACAAACACACAAAACAAACAAACACACACACACACAAACAAGCACACACACGCACACATACACAAACAATCAAGCAAGCAAGCAAACAACCAAACAAACACACAAACACACACACACACACAGACAGAAACAAACAAGCACACACGCACACAAACAAACACACACACACACATACACAAACAATCAAGCAAGCAAACAAGCAAGCAAGCAAGCAAGCAAGGCAGCAAACAAACAAGCAAAATAAATAAATAAACAAACAAACAAACGCACAAACAAGCAAAGCAAAGCAAAGCAAAGCAAGCAAGCAAGCAAACACACAAACACACACGCAAAGACACAGACAAAGAAACCAAGAAACCAACAAACAAACACACAAACAAGCAAACAAGCAAACAAAAGTACGTACGCACGTACATACGTACGTACGTGCATACATACATGCACACATACACACATAGGTAGACACATACGTACGCAGCCTGTACATGTGCATAGGCATGCACCTACAGCTGGTTAGGTGAGTATGCTTCCAAAACAGGTACATGTATCAGTTTGCGTGCCCGTGCAACCATGCGCTCGCTTTGGCGCAGGAGCGATCCGAGCCTCTTGGGGCGTTGATTTACAACGCGCGCCCCCTCGGCTTTTTTTCTGTTTGCAGTGTGAGCCGAGGAGGAGTCAGACAGTATTGTGTCGAGTTCCTTCGGCTTGAGGATCCCGCCACCTGCCCGTACTGGGATGACGTGGAGTTTGCCTCGAACTTATTTGCTTCAAATTGTGTCAGGTGGCCTGCAGTGTGCGGATCTGTGCGGCATCCATTTTCTGTGAATTCAGGGCGTGGACCAGAAGGCTAGCGTCATGGTCGCTCCTATCATGAGTGCTGGGAAGGCGGATATGCTTGAGTCTGTGTGTGTGTGTCTGTGTGTGTGAGGCTTTGTTGTCTTTCTTGGCTTCCGGCATTTCTTCTTCCTACATTTTACGCTGTCTTCACGAACGATCCCGGCACTCTCTTGCACGACATTTCTTGTATTTTGCAGGATTGTAACTTGACGGCGGCTCTCCTCCCCCGGCGAGTAGACCTGTGAGAATTTCAAGAAGCATCAAAGACTTCGGCCCTTAACCCGACACCCTAAACCCTAGAACCCCTAGAACATCAAAGACTTCGGTGGCTTTTCCCACAGGATCTGAAGCCCCTTGGCCTCATTGTGGCCAGCGCCAAGATGGCCAGGTCCAAAGAGGTGCATGGGGTCTTTAAAGAATTTTAATACCATTATATGAGAATATACCATTACGCAATACTGATATACAATATACTATTATGGTACTATTATACTGTAGTAGGTGACAGCCAGTGATAGAGAACAGTGAACAGCCTATCATGCGCCTCTGCAGGGCGATTTGCTGTCCAAGCTGTGGGCTCGCGCCTAGATCCGTGTGACTCTGCGACGGCACTCCCGGTCTTGTCCACGAAGCGTAGCTCAGGGCCCCATCAGTGTGGACTTTACGCAGCAAGACGCAGACTTCCTGGAGTGGCTTGCAAGCGCAGACCGTGCCTCAGCTGCCGCGGAGCTCTGTTCCTTCAGAGCTCTGACAGAGCAGAAGAACTGGAAGGCCAGTAGCCACCTGGACCGCCTTTCGCTGGACGTGATGTGGACACGGGTCCCTCCCACAGTTGACAGTAGATGGTCTACAGGGTTGATCAGTCTGGCAGACACTATAGCTGTTCAGAGCAAAGGCACTTCTGGAACGCGAAGGGGGCGAAGGCGCTGCACAGGCCAAGTCTCTGAGTCTCCAAGCAGCCGCTGCTGACAAATGCAACAACTGCTCGTCGAACGGACAGTTCATCCTTCGTTCAAGTCACCTGGCAGAAACGCGTGATGCCTTGAGCCATAGGACGAATCCGAAGACTTGCTTGTCTCGGAGTACTACACAGAGGAGGCGACCGGCATATCCCCAAAACTGGGGAGATCGTCTGCGTCACAGTGGGGTTCAGTCTCCCAAGCCGAGGCGATGGCGACCAGGTCTAGAGCCCGAACGGATGGGAGCACCGGAAGAACTGGAAGCAAGGCGGTCCACGGAGACGAAGTAGTACAGCGGCACCCTGATGGATCTTACAGCGTTACCCTGAACCCTCAAGCCGTAAGCCTTGAGTGGTGATGCATCTTTCAGCATTCTGGGCAGGCCTCCGGTCACGGTCGATCCGTGGGTCGTGTGAATACAGTTCACAAGTTTATGGGTCACGTTGCCACCGTGCGGGGCCCGGCATCTGCCGTCAGCTTTGAAAAGTCCTCTTCTGTGGATGCTTTACGTATCTCCTCTTGTGACTGAGGCTCTGGACTTCACCTCTTCGAAGGGCATGTTGGCATTAGCCACTCGGCGAAAAAGCCACGGCAAGCACGAGATTGCTGTTGCGGAGGTGAAGGGGGAGAAGGAACCTTTGGGATGTTTCGTTCTCGCAGGTGCAGGAGGTGGAGAAGACCTGCATCAGGCCCCGACAGCTCAGCGAATGTTTCTGCTTCGATGGGAGTTTCCGAAAATAAGGGGTACCCTCTTTTGGGGTCCTTATAATAAGGATCCTACTATTTAAGGCACTATATTAGGGTCCCCTATTTTGGGAAACCCTTAGATGTGCTGTTTGCTCACAATCGCGAGGGACCTGGCTGCGGAACCTCATGTGGACGTGTCACAGTGGGAGATCGATTACTGGGCCGACACCTCATTCGAGATCGAGTTAACACTAGGCTTTGGGTGAGTGTATGCCAGGCTAAGTAGGCAAGATTGGTAAGAGTACATGAGTCTCCTTTTTGGCGAATACTTGTAGAAAAACACATGCCCTCAGATCCGCGCAGAAGGAGGCTGAGGACTCCCTGGTTCGCTGTTTGGTTCCTTTGGTCGCGCGCCGGGGCGCGAGAGAGCGGCCTGATTTGGTTGAAAAGGCTGTGCTGGCGGGGGCACACCTGGGTGGTCCGGGTGAACCGTCCTCGCCTAACACGCAGTCCACCTGGTCGCCACTACAGTGTCGGGGGGCAACAAGAAGACCATATCAGGCAGCAAGGGCGACATTCAAGTTCGATTTCATCGAGATAGTCCCACTCAACGGCGCACTTTTCGTTTGTGATGACTCGCCGAGATGATTTTGCAAAGGATTCGAAACACGCGTGTGAGGGGCTCGTTTCATGCAAGGACAGTGGCGACTTGACCGGCGATTGAGCAGCGCTTCTTTGACTTCCCATGTGTCCGTGCTCCAGCCGAGGTCTTGACGTCACATGAGCAATTTGTGCTGCTGGTGACGGCTATACGTCAGCTCAGCGCCCAAGAAAATCCCGGGAGTAACGAGCGAGCAGGCTAGCTTGGAATGAGAAGCCTGGCAGTGAGCCAAGTCACAGAGATGGATCCGAGGCTGGACATTTTCGATCACCTTAGCATCGACGACGGTGCTGTCCTTTCAGGGAAGCACTGGGACTTCGTCACTTGCAAGTTGGGGGATTCTATCCGAACTTCTCTCAGGTGTCCTCATGCGCTTCTTCCAGGCACAGTTCCAGAAATAGTTGAGAAGATAATCCTGGGCGTACATGTGATGTGTTCTAGGCCGTGAAGAACACTTACAGAAGCGTCCCGCTTCTGGCTCAAGTTGCTTGAGGGTCTCTTCTTGTCTTTGACAGCGAAGATTAGCAAAGCCAGTTCCGAGGTTCCACAACTTCCACCATGCAATGTCCACCACGCACTATGCTTCGAAGATGGCAAAGGCACACCGGAAGTCCTGCAGCTCGAGGAGCAGCGCGCTTTTCTAGCAGGTGGCCGATCTTTCGGCGTACTTAACGTACCCGGAGCTGTTCGCCCTTGTGGTTGCAAGCTGAGCCAATGCAGCGAAGGGAACGAGCTAGAAGTCTATTGCTCACTGCTTCATATGGGTAGTTTTCACTATATTGGGGACCTAAAAGGGGACCCTAATTCAGA